CTTTTATCTAAACAAGAAAAGTACTTAAAATATTTGTTGTTGTAATTAGGGCTTGTTCTCATACGTTGAAATTCAGTTCAGTTCAGCTCAGTCAGTTCAGCTCAGCTCAGTTCAGTTCAGCTCCTAATTTCCTTCTCTTATAAAATATTCATTTCAGTTTAGTTCATTTCAGCTGAGTTTAGTCAATGAGAACATACCCTTAGTCGTGAATTAGTGGTTCGATGTTTACCCAGTCTTGACTTTATCGCGTCAAACTCGTTAGTTTCATAATTGGGTTAATGCTTTAAACGGGTTGTAATATTTTGAAACCAAATTAATTAGAACGTACTTGAATTATAATGGACTAATTGTGTTGAGGTGTAGCCTTTTCAAAAAACACATATAAGTGTCCTATATTGATAAAAGAAAAGAGAGTTAAAAATATTTATAAGGCTAAGATGTTAATCCTTTTATTGCTATATGACTTTCCGATGAAACCTCTAAATAATTTTGCAAAGTGATGAACTCCTTCTCTTATTGATGAGTGTGGCTCAGGTCTGCATTTAACAAATTGTAATGGAATGTTTAGGAAAAAAGGAACTAAAAACTATAGGCATTTTACCTTTACCTCAACTCATGGCCTTGTGCAGTGGCAAAATCTTTTTATCGCAAATTATGATATATGCAAATCAACTCCTGAATAATGTTGCAATATATGTACTCCCTCCGTTTCAAAATCAACTCCGGAGTAAAATTTTCTATAATGGAGAAAAAGAAAAAAAAATACGGAGTACTTCCTCCGTTCTTTATTACTTGACCCGCTTTGACTTTTACACTATTCACCACCCCTCCTTTGACCGTCTTTTGTAAATAATATGTAAGGAAAAATATATTCATGTATGATTTTTTGGATTCGTCTCAATAAATATTATTATAATATATAACTTTTATAATTTTTACTTATGAAGAATTTAAGTTATTGATCGTTAAAGTTTTGCATTGACAAGCGTGATAAAAGAAACTGGTCAAGTAATAAAAAAGAACAGAGGAAGTATAACATACGACTTTTAAAAATAAAAATAAAAACCAACAAACAGAAAATTGCATTGATCTCGAAGGTGGATGAGTAATCATCGATTGAGTGACATTATTTACCCAAACAATTTTCAAAGCTGATCTTAAAGGGTACACACAATCGATTTATCGATTGATGGATATGTTTCAAAAAGAGAGAGAACCTTTTCAAATAAATAGAAAAAAGCATGATTGGAAATTTGGATCGCTTCTGCTTACATTATTTGATCAACTGCTTCATAATCTACTTTAAAGACCGGAAGTCGCCCTTAGCTTTGTTGTGTATTTTTTTTTTAACTCTATTATTATGGCCTTATGCCAGTAATGCCGGATGATTCTAAATATTAAACCTGGGCACCGTGCCGGGCCGGGCCGCCGCGGGCCGTGCCTGGCGGGCCACGGGCTGGTTCGTGCCGTGCCCGTCGTGCCGGCGGGCCCAGGATTTCGTGTCGTGCCGTGCCGGCCATTTTAACAGGCCAGCCCACGGCACGGCACGGCCCTCGTGCCGTGCCGGCCACGTGCCGGCCTGCGGGCTGGCAGCGGGCTGGTGCAGTTTTCAAATATATTTTTTTTTTTTTTATTTTTTTTTTATTTTTTATGACAACATTATAAATTAATAAGTTTATAATGTATATAAGTTATAAAATTATAATTATAAGTTTTATAAGGTTATAACTTATAAGTTTATAACTTATAAGTTATAAGTTATTAAGTTATGAATTTTATAATTATAAGTTGAATATTTATGTTTTATAATTTGTATATTCAATATTTATATTTATATATTTACTTTATACTATTACTTTAAAATTTAATGTTTATGATTTATTAGTAATTGGTATAATTTTATTTTTTTTAATATGAATTTACAAATTGTAACAAAACGGGGAAAAAAGGCAAATTGGACTTTGGATGTGAATAATGCGTACTTTATATTATTATTACTTGAGTTGAGAAAATTGTACAATGATAACAATGATAAAAATCATACAATGATGGTATTAAACAAAAATTTGAAAATGATAAAATTGATATTTTTAAAATCGTACAATATACAATAATTGTCTATTCTTCTTCTCCTTCTTCTTGCTCGTCTTCGTCTTCGTCTTCGTCTTCGCCTTCGCCTTCAAGGTCATCGGCTAGTTGCATAGATTGGGAACTAGCCGAACCCGAACCGGAAGCGGAGGTTCCTTCTTCGTTGTCGTTGTGGTCGTAAGAACGGTCTTGTGAGCGATTTTCCGCATCCAACCAATCTTTGAAACACACGCACATTTCTAGTGTTTCAGGTTTTAGACTTGTTCTTCTATCGTCTAAAACCCTTCCGGATGCGCTGAAAGCTCGTTCGGAGGCGACGGAGGAAACTTGGATAGCAAGAATGTCTCGTGCCATTGCCGCCAAAGTTGGATGCTTCGAGCTTTGTTGTTTCCACCATGCAAGGAGGTCGAGGCTGTTTATCTCATCGTCGTCCATGCCTTTGGTGAAGTCGTAACTCAGGTACATCTGCAACTCCGAGACGTCGCTTTGCGTTCTCCTGATTGATGAATCACCTGAAAACCTTGAAATCAAGTTAGTAGCTTGTGAAAATAAATGTTTGGCCTTCTCACTTACGTTTTTGGATGGTTGGGAAGGCCCTGAGCGAGGAACGGTGCCATATTTAGCTTCATAGACTCTATATAAAGCAAAAAACTGATCCTTCACATTAGTCTTATAGTTTTCTACATCATCGTCAAGAAACATGCATTGAAAGTAAATGTCAACTAACATAAATGTGTTTTCATACTTTTGCCTAGGATCTAATATGGAAGCAAAAATATAAATCAAAGGAATCTCACTATAATATTTACGCCACTTTTTTTCCATTGCTGGAAGATACTGATCATAATCACTTTGATGGCGATGATCAGCGAAAAGTTGGGCGAGTAAGCATGCATTAGAAAGAAAGTTTTGAGCACAAGGATTGTAAACAGTAGAAAAACAATACGTCATGTTATATAATAACTGTAAAAATTGCATATATCTTTCACAGTTATTCCAATCATCATCATACTAAGCATTTTGTGGAAATTTTTGGTTGTAAAATAATGTAAACGGGCCCTTGTACTCAATTGCCTTTGTTAACATGTCATAGGTGGAATTCCACCTAGTTGGGCAATCGGTTCTAATTTTTATTACCCTTATCTTTTGTTGTTTTAGAAAACTCTTCCATTCTTGGTATCTCATGTTAGAGCTATTAATAGACATAATAGCATCTCTGATTTTGCTGTAGTATGGGCCAATTGCCCGAACTCCATCCTGTACACATAAGTTAAGTACATGGCAAACACATCTAGTATGAAGAGCTTCACCGTCTAATAGTACATCGGTTAAGTTTGTTTGATAAGATTAGCTGTGTATGTCATAGAGGTTGCATTATCAAAAGTAATAGACATCATTTTATCTCGAAGGTTGTATTCGTCTATTGCTTGCATTAAATGGTGAGCAATGTTAATGCCGGTGTGTGGGTATTCCAGCATTTTGAAATGTACTATTCTTTTTTGTAACATCCATTGATCATCTACCCAATGGCAAGTCACACATAAATAGTGATATTTATAACCACTATCCCAAGAATCGGCTGTTAAAGATACTCTACAGTTAAGGTTACTCAATTCGGCTTGTAACCGGACTTTGTACTCTAGGAAATTTTTCATTGCGGCGGAACAAACGGTTTTCCTAGAGATTCTTTTATGTTGGGGTTGTAGTGCTTTGTTAATGTAGGTGTTGAATGCGTCACTTTCCGAGAAAAAAAAAGGTTGTTCGACGTGTACTATCATTTTTCCTAGTTCATCCCTATCCCTCTCATAGTTGTATGTAAAGCCGTATGGATGGAATTGGGAAATTTTGAGCTGGGTTGGATCACTAGCTGGTTTTGCACAAGCTTTCATGTGTCTAGATAAGTGTCCCGTCCCGTTTTTGGTAACTGTCGTGAATACACTATTACATGTTTTACATTTTGCCCATTGTTCACCATCTTTACTTAGGACAAAATAACGCCATACCTCACTCCTTCGGTTTTTCAAAAGTAGCATCTCAGTTTCGGTTAACCATTCATGATGTGTGTGATGGTTAGTAGTGGGACTAGTGGGAGTGGCAGTAGAAGGGGTAGAACCGGAGGGAATTCGGGTACTTTCTTGGCTACCTTGGCTAGAACAATAGTTTTGTTGATCACCGATATAATTAGGTGGAAATTGGTATGGTGGTAGTGGAAATTGGTTTAGTGGTGGTGCTGGAAATCCCGACGTATTATATGGCTCATAGCCCGGGGGGAAGTAAATGGGGTCATTGGTTTGACTCGTAATTTGGGGGCTCGTTGTATTTGGTGGTTCCCTAGAACTACTACTACGGATAAGTCGGCCTTTCCCCCTAGACCTAGATGATGGGTTGTTCGTTGCCATAATTAACAATTAATTTTTTAATAAAAAGTGGTTAACTATAATAATAATAATTAATAACAACAATTTTAACAATAAAAATATCAATAATATTAATTAATAACAACAACTATAACAATAACAATAACAAAAAAAATAAATAATAACAACAATTGTAACAATAATAATAATTAATAACAACAATTATAACAACAACAATAACAATTAACAACAATAATAATTAAACAAGATTATTCTAATAATAACAATAAAACAATAATAAATTTAAGATTAGTTTAGATCTTACAACCGCGCTTCAACGCTCCACTAATTACGATTACGAACTTTTTAATTTTTTCCGATATTAGGAAAATAATTAGAGAATTTAAGAGAATAATTAGAGAATTTAAGAAAATAAGGATTATTAGAGATTTAGAGAATATAAGAGATAAGAAGAAGAGATTGTGATTTTGTGATTTGGGAATGAAATGGAGGTGAGTATTTATAGAATTTTTGGGGAGCAAATTGGCAAAAAACTAGCCGTTTTTTTGGCTTATTAAGGAGCTAGAATAAACGGTAACATTACCGTTGGCCCGCGAGCCGTTCCGGGCCGTGCCTGCGTTCCGTGCCTGCGGGCCAGCACGGCGGGCCATGCCTGTGCTCGTGTCGGGCCGTGCCTGGGAATTCTCAACCCTGTCCGTGGCACGGGAGTTGAACTTCGTGCCGTGTCGTGCTTGAATTCGGGTCGTGCCGGGCGGCACGCGGGCCAACCCGGCCCGTGCCCAGGTTTGATTCTAATGTGTCATTTTTCAAAAAATGACACCATAACATGCTGACGTGGCATGTTATGGTTGGTCAAAATTTCATTTATTTTTAAAAGACAAATTATACTATACGTGTATGTATTATTACAAATACATGTATATTTTTAAAAAATACATAGTTACAGTATAATTTTTTTTTTTTAATTTCAAAAAATTATTTTTGAATTTCTTCCATGAGCGAACCTTCTAGGTCTTCAATTGGAGCACAATTTGAAATAGTTGTTGCTATTGAAGGTCGAAATTGTTGTAATTGATGGTGGATTAGAGGTTCTAATTGTCGCAATAGCTGATGCGTTTTGGTGTTGTTGGTGAAGCGTGGATTGAAGGTGGTGGTTGTTGCTGCGATTGGAGGACGAAATTGTTATAATTAGGTGGCAAATTGATGTAATTAACGGTGGATTGAAGTTCTATTAGTTGCAATTGGTGCTGTGTTTTGGTGTTGTTAGTGGAGCGTGAATTGAAGGTGGCGGTTGTTGCTACGATTGGAGGCCGAATATATTGTAATTGGGTAGTGAATTGATGTAATTGTTGGTTGATTTGAGGTTTAATTGTCACAATTGATGCTGCGTTTTAGTGTTGGTGAATTGAAGCGGCGTGAATTGAAGGTGGTAGTTGCGTAGGTGACTGAAAATGGCGTTGATGTGCGGTTGAGAGCTGGGCGGCGGTGATTTGAGTGCGGGGCTGGAGGATGCGGCAGACTGGATTGTTGTAGCAGTGCGGTGGGTGGAGCGGTGAGAGAGCTACTGGTGGCTGCTCTGTTGTCCGACGATTGGAGGTAGTTGTTTTGCTGCTCGGTGGTGCGGCAGCGATGAGTTGTTGGGTTGCAGGCAACCGGTTTGGAGTTGTTGGTGGTGTATAGGCAAGGACACAAAGGGATTTTCATAATTATGATTAAGTATTTCTTAAAAAAATACATGTAAAGAATACATAATATAAATACAATTTTAATATATTATGGACTTTAAAATTAATTCAAAATAAAAATCAAAATATTTAATATGGACTAATCAGATTTCGCCACATCAGCATATTGTGGTGTCATTTTTTAACAATGACTGTAGAATTTTCAAGTAATGCCACTTCAAACTTTTCTTAATTGATTATTAAGGCACTTTTTATAGAAGGCTGCATAATACGAAGTAGGTTATATTATTTCATATGGAGTATGGATTAGTGATAAACTTTTGTCATAATTTTTTTTTTTTCTCAAAAATGTAATGGGAGTTATGAGAGAAACAGATTGGGACAAAGTGAGTACCGGGACTATCAACAGCCATCATAAACCCGATCCATAAACATTCCGAAAATTAGGAAACCCGATCCGATAATCATAACGGTTCGGGTATGGTTATTGGATATCATTTTAAAACTAACAGTTACCTAAATCAATCCAATAAACAAATTTTTGTTTTTTTCCTACTTAAATCTATTTTTCCAATATATAAACTCTTACTTTAGTTCATAATCACTTTATAATATCGATTAGTAATATTATTAATAATTTGATCAAGATCATGTGGTATCGTTATTAATTAGTGTTAAATGATATTATAATAACTACTTTATTAAGTTTAATAACATATTGGATATCTAATTGGGTGCCCGATAACTGATCCGAAAATCCGAATCCGAAGTTCAGGTACCCAAACTTATCAGTTCGGTTTATAGATATAATCGATTACCTAACGTGGTTTGGGTACATGTCTCATGCTCACCCCTACTAATTACCGGACATACAAATTAAAGTTTTGTATGTAAATAAGCAGTCTTTTTTGGATTTATCACTGTTAAATACGGGTCTGGGCCTCACCCGTCACGAGAGAGTGCAAGTCCACCACTTCACAAGACCAAGGAGGTTCCACCTCAAAACCATATGGCAATGAGGAGAGTAGCCCCTTAGCCTTATATTGTGGTAGTAACTCTTGAATTCTTTTAATGTGGGATTCCATTACCACTATACTCCCCCCTTTAGTGTTGAGTGTGAGACAAGATAATGCTCACATGTGGGTTGTTCATGGGCTCAACAAACACAAAAAAGGGCGGACGGATTCTTGGTTTGGGCTAACTACCTTACAACTAAATAAGAGATCGGGTATCAGTCTATTAAACACAGAGAGTGCATCTAGACGCATACGGCCTATATATTTGGCATACACATAGAAAGGCAATATGGGATTTTGTGGTACATTTTCTCGCTTGTTTTAGTACAGTGGTACATTTTTGTGTACTATTATACATGTATAATGTACTATTAAAATATAAGTTGTTTGAATAGTATTTTTAATGTATTATTATGCATATTATGGTACTTTTTGTCATTATATTTTTCACCTTCAGGTTCCCAATATTTACAAAAAGTCATTTTATTTGCATTTTTAATACATAGAGCCTATGCGCCAAGAGTTTTCCCAGAGGGTCTCTTTGATATCAGCCAATGACCACAAGCATTTTAAAGTACAACTAGGGCTGTGCACCGGTCCAAAACCGGACCGGGACCGAAACCTGAAATAAGCATTTTTTAAGGACCGGGGACCGGACCATAATCAGTCGGTCCGGTCCCGGTCTGGACCTGTTTAATACGGTATGTTCCGGTTTTGGACCGGTTGGAACCGACATTATCCTTTTTTTTCCTGCATTTAACAGCACCTGCTAATCTTCCCTGCTATTTTTTTTAACCCATATCCGAAAATTATAGCAGAATCATAAGAATAGAAACAGATTAAAATCAAAAACATTTTTTAAAAGTATTGAATATGCAACTGATGCAAGCAACTTACATTGCATGAATATGAATCCGTTGTTGAACAATTGAATGGTAATACTCTGAAAACAAATTAAATACACACAACTACATCCAAATTTGCTTATCAATTTATCAAGTAACAAAAACGGAAAAAAAAAAAAAAAAAAACACAAACCTGACTTTCGAACAGGACTGACTTCCGGTGAGGGCCGTGAGGCGGCGACGGCTGGAGTGATCGGAGATGCAGGTTACAACAAACGGAGGAGTGTTTAAATTGATTTTAATTAAACAAAAAAAAACCGAAAAGGAGGTTGGAAGTCAAAGAGGAAGGCGGTGCCGTGGTTGAGATCGGGTGCGGAGCCACGGAGGCGTGGAGCAGAGGAGGAAAGAGAGTGAGAAGAGGAAAGAGGCGTGATTGATTGTCTGATTGAATCTTAGGGTTTTTGGGAAATTAAAAATAAAAATTGTAAAAAAACAAACTTTTTCAGGGTTTCCAGTCCAGGCCGGAATATTCCGAGTTTTAATCGGACCGGACCGGAAACCCAAAATTGCTCATTTCTAAGGACCGACCCAAAATCCTACGGTCCGGTCCCGGTTGGTTTTCCGGTCCAGGTCTTAAAATGCACACCCCTGGTATACAACTACACTTGTATGAATTTGAAGTACCACCACAAAAATTCACTATCACGAGGTCTACGACCACTTAGAAATGCTACCATAGTAGTGATAGTACCATACGTCCATACCCATTTTACAATGTGCCAAAATTATGGGGTTAACGAAATTATTTATGGAGTTGACGGAATTATCTATCTCCCATGCTATTTAGATTATAGGATCAGTGTTTCTCCCATAATCTATAATTTTTTTTTTTTAATTACACTTAATTTTATTCTTTTCAATGTACCTCTTAAAGGTCTGTTCTGATTTACTTAACTAAGTTGAACTGAATATTTTATGCGAGAAGAAAATGAAGAATTGAACTGAAATAAACTCTACTGAAATGTAAATAAGCTAAAGAGAACAGACCCTTAATCTCTTGCTTAAAATTGTATCTATTTAATGAGTTGCGAGTTAAAAAAAAAAAAAAAAAAGGAAGTAAGAGGTAAACACAAGTTTCGTAAACTGACAAGAGCTTGTGTAGAGGTTTCAGGTTTGTAGTCAAAAACCCGCGTGTTGATGTACATGTCAAAACTTGAGCGACCAACTACGCTTAGGTGCTATGGACTGTTTAAAATTAGCTGGATTTGAGCCATATATGGAGTTGGGCCTATTTGTTGATGAGGTGCAGTGAGAAGGCTAAACAAGGCCCAAGTGGTTGGGTTAATGTAATCTAGTTGTATGAGCTTTCGTGGGATGATAATTACTATAACACTTTTGTTATTTTTTGTGGTTTAACTCTTTAGATTATTAAGAAGATGATGATTAAACAATTATAAATATGTTATGTATTTAATGCCAGCTAGCTAAAACTATTACTAACAATGTATACATGGTCATCTCTAACCACAACACCACATAATAATCTACTTACTTAAAATTATGAAATTATGTATTGATAATTGAATGACATAATAATCTACTTATTTAAAATTATGAAATTATGCATAGATTCCTCGTAGAAATACAAATACAAATACAAAATAATTTAAAGGCTTAAACCACCTTGATGAAATTTTCTTACAAAAAATTCATCAAATTTCTCGATCATATCATGAGTGAAGTAATTAGCCCAATCACCAACTTCGCCCTTTCGAAAAAAGACCTTATTATGCACCCCTGAAGACAATTTCCCATTCTTGTTTACCTCCAAATTGCTCAAATTTTCAAAACTACACAAACCAAGTATTTCTTCAACAACCCCATTATTTTCCTCCTCTAAAGAAAAAGAACACCCCCAAAATTCAGCCAATTTTTTCAAATACAACTTAGGTTGTTCTTTTAGCTCTTCATATTTCAAGAAAAAAACCTTCTTAGGGTTGTCTAAGCTATACTTCCAATAGCTCAAAACATGATCACTAAAAGGTCCACAAAAGCTAACACCTTTGCAAAACATGTCAAATGCCTCTTCTAGTGGGAAATCACCACAATTTTGAGGCCTTAACTTGTTTGAAAAGTGCCATAATGAGATGAAGGCATCCCTTGGGTCCCTAGCTAGGTACACAACTTTGCAATCCTTTTCCTTGATGGATAATGGTAGCGATTCGACGGGTAAGTGTGTAGAAAACAGCCTAGGAGAGGGCAATTTTGTTAGGTTAGGGTCTTGGTGATCAATATAAAGCTTAAGCTCTAAGTAAGGTACTAAATCATGAGGGTTTTTTGAGAGAAGTGGGTGGTTATCTCCTCTAGGGAGGTTGATTTTCCGGTTTACAACAACGTATGCTAAGGCCTTGAGCCATGTTGTGCCGCATTTAGGGCTAGTGGTGAGGATGATATCGGTGTCACGAGCTTGGAAGTGGCGTTGGCATGAAAGCACACCTTGAAGTTGCCTAACAGGATACCAAAACCCTTGGTATTGGTAAATATGGGTTAGAACCCAATCTTGTTCTTTAGGTAAGGTTGAGATTAAGGCTTGACATTCTTGTGTTATGTCATCTTCTTGCATATATTTGGCAATTTTAGGAGATGGAGTTTTATTTTTTGGAGCATGAGAAAGGGTTGATATTAGATTGGCTGCCATGGGAAATAATGTTGGCCTTGGAATATTGAACATTCGACATAGGGTTAATATATAGAGAAGTTTGAGCATTTTGTTTATTTTATTTTATGTATGTTAAGATTTTGGTGTTATTCAACTAGGTGTGTTAGATCATTTAATTTATGCAATTATTGTATTTCCTCCGTTATATATTAGTTGCAACTTTGAAATTATTTATGTTACACAAATAATACCTTAAAGTTGCAAATACTATGTACTTCAAAACAGACAAGTAATATACTCGTATGTATACTATATCTAATGACAATAATTGATTGGAATCCAATTCGTGCGTTGCTATACTACTATGGAGCAGAAGATTCAGATAATCAGATTAGTTGCTAGATTGGAACGAAATGGACTTTAGTGATTAGAAAATAAACTAACCATAGTGAACGATTTACTTTATGAATGAACCAACTGTAGTCATGTACAATTGGAAAGTGGAAATTAAAAGCATTTATAATAGTTGTAATTTGTAAATAGAACTTTGGTTGCAATTTTTAAGTAGTTGGAGCTAGTAGCTCACCGGCCTTGGTAAAACTACTCCTGAAGCAAGTAGTATGAAAAATAATGATGTGGCAACCCAAAACTACAAGAGATGTAGCTATCCATTATAAATGCTCAACGTTTACACCAAAATTCGTAAAATATGATAAACGGACATTTTATAATAGGACAAAAGGAGTAAATTTGAATCATTTTTGCTGAATTTAGATGATTACTTTTTATTAGCCCAACCACACATATAAACCCTAACAAAAACAAACAATTAAACTAAGAAAAACTAACGACTCCATTAAGGCCAAGAAAATTATAAACTCCCGAAAAAAAAGGAGAAATGAGATAACAGGAGACCACATACAACAATTGTATGTGTAGTCTTTATCGACGGCTGCATGTATACTGTGTAGTATTGGAATTAGGAAAGTGAAACTTAAATTTGATGAAAGAGCTTGTCATACCATTTGCTAAAGCTTCACGAGAAAGTCAGTATGCAATATGCATGCCATTGAAGTGGGCACAAAATATTATGCCATACGGAGTGTGTAGTATTTCCCAACACACAAGTCAACTTATGGCAAAACCTTTTTAGTGCAAATTATGATAAATGCAAATCTAATGTCTTCGTTTACATTTAAGGAGAGCGATACAAAGAAAGAAAGATAAGGATCTATGCGATGAGGAGAATAGCAAGTGCTTCATAATCTACTTTGTTGGGGTTTTTTTAAACTCTATTATTATGCCACTTCAACCTTTTCTTAATTAAGGCATTTTTTATAAGAAGGCAGGCTGCATAATACAAAATAGATTTATATTATTTCATATGGAAGTATGCATTAGTGATAAATTGTAGTCATAATTTATAAATTTAAACTCATTACATACATGTAACGGGAGTTACGAATGAGAGAAACATATAGGGACAAAGTGAGTACTAGCCACCACAAGCATTCTAAAGTACTCCGTATAACTAAGCTCGAATCATTTTGAAGTACCACCACAAAGTTTACAATCACGAGGTCCTTGGCCTACTCTTAGAAATGCTACCATACCCATTTAACAAAGTGCCAAAATGATTGGATTGGCGGAATCATATATCTCAATTAGGATCAAATGATAGTTTCTTAAACTACATTCATACATAGTCTTCTCTCTCTCTCTTTTTTTTTTTTTTTTTTTTTTTTTGAGAAATAGTGTTTTCTCTCTCTCATTCCATTTCATTTTTTTTCTTCTTATAAGCTCACTGACTTGCCGATTCCAATTTTGCACAAAGTTGTTTGATCTATAAAAATATTTCTAAACTAGAAGAAATCTGCTCATTTTATATCTGATCTACAAATAAATTTCCAAACTTTAAAAAATTTGCTAGTTCTGATTTCGCTCAAAGTTCGTTGATCGATCTGAGTAAGTAATAAAGTAGTGTTTCTACTTTCTATGTAAGAAAAAAGTGTTTTTTTATAGTGTTTCTATGCAAGAAAAAAGTGTTTTTTTTTTATAGTGTTTCTATGTAAGAAAAAAGTGTTTTAAAAAAAAATAATAATAAAAAAATAGTAACGTAATTTATGATGATTATGATTTTGTAAACTGACAAGGGCTTGTGTCAAGTAGAGGCTTGTAGTCAAAACCAGCAATGTTGATAATGATGCACATGTCAAAACTTGAGCGAGCAGCCTAATGTGCTATGGACCGTTTTAAATTAGCTGGATTTGAGCCATTCTTGGAGTTGGGCTTATTTGTTGATGAGGTGCAGTGAGAGGCTTGACCAAGGCCCAAGTAAAAATGAACATATAATGTTGTTACTTATTCATCAATATTTTTGTAAGTTTTAAGTGAAATCATACTGCATGAAAATAAACATACGGAGTATACTGTATTTTATAAGAATAAATATCATACTGTATGATAATGAACATTTAATTATTGAGAAATTTGTAAAATATTTTCAGATAGAAAATGTTCATTTTTATTATAATAAATGTTCATTTCTGGTCGCGAGACCAAACAACTTTGGATGTGCGCCCGTGCACGAGTCCAGCCAATACTAGTTAAACTCTATAGTTTTTACGAAGTATTAATTTTAAGGGTTTTTTTTTTTTTTTTTACGGAGTAACTCTTTCTCATTCTAGGTTCTAGGTGGATGAGAACTCAGGTGGTAAGAGCTAAGTGGGTTAGAACTTTCCTTTCGGTTCCAGGAGATCGATTCTCATCCTGCCTTTGTGAATTGTGGCTCTTTAAAGACCCAAAAAATTAAGCCCATGTTGAAGTAAATTTGAGTTAAGATAAGTGAAATTAGAAAAATAGGTTCCAAATAAGTTATATAATCAGGGATAAAATGCAATGCAATTTGGAACAAGAGAACAATCATATGATAGTAATTGAGGCTTTCATTTGTTCACTCATTTTCACTTATTTCAAGATAAAATAAGGTTAGGAAAAAAAAGGTCAGTTTAATTCAGATAAAATAGTATAAGTGAAAATCAGATGAATACAACGCAATATTGATTAGATAGTATTATAATATGTTAAATTGGTAATAATCTTATCCATTGAACAAGCAAAATTTAGGCTTTTGGCTGGGCGTGAAACGCATGTCAAGTCCGAAACCGTGACAAAAACAGATTAGCAACTAATGAAAAACACGTGATTAATAAGGTAAAAATGACTATCAGAAAATCCACCAACCAAATCTCATTAGACCCAAACACAATTAACATATAATTGATTGCTTTGGGTGTCATTAGATCCTCATAACATAAATAATCAACATTTATTTGGCGTCCATATTTCTAATTGACTTGATGTCCAATTAATATATGGTAGGGTAGTGAAGATTAATCCACCAATAAGCTCTACATATAATTATAATTTCTTTGCTCTATAAGATTTAACAACCATCATTCATATTTATATTATGTGAGTACAATTTTTTATATAATGGAAAGGAGGTTACGCATTGGATATGCAGAAAAAAATGTGTGTGAATCTGGTTCACAATAATTTTGGTGTGCATTAAGCTAAGGATTGTATGCGCAAATAAAATTTGATAAATAATTGAACATAGTAACCCAAATTTTAATATAATAACCTTTATCAAAACTTGTGTGACCTTTTAATATTATTGTGAATCTAAGAAATGCATGAGTTAGCCGACGTTACATTGAACATAATGACCTTAATTTTAATACAGTGACCTTTATTTTATTTAAATTGACCTGTATATTAAAAAATTTATTAAAAAAAAAATCCTCTTATCACCTTTATAATAACACAAATAATGACTTTTATTTTAATATAGTAACCTTTATTATAAAATATATAGTAACTTTTTTTATTAATAAAACGGTCATAGCGTTTTTAACATTAAAGGGTCCACATAGAAGAAATTAATGTAAACCAGGTTCATCTAAGAGTTTGTAAGAGAGACTATGTAATAAAAAAAAAGTTACAAATAAATAGAGATGGGAGCGTCCTAGCCAAGGTTATCACTTGTCATGTTGGTCGTGTTTACGGGAGTCATGCATGCTTATAATGTATTTAGAAAGGTTGTGTCGTGCTTGGCTTGTGCCAGTCTTTTCTAAACAAATTTCTTCCACGACGATTCATGTATTGTATTGTGTCGTACAACCTATGTCATGTTATCGACTCCCTTAATAATTTAATAATTTTGATAAATTTGTCAAGTATATATTATTGGGTCGACTTGTCATACTTGTCTCAAATTTTGAAAATAATGTTCATGTAAATTCATAACCCCCAAATCCCCAATGGCGTACCCTATGTACCATATTAGATTTGTGACATGTTGGGACGGATTAGATTGTATTTGTGTTGTGCTTAATTGACTCTCATATGGGTCCGTCCGTCTGTCCCATATACCCAATTTTAGTTACAGATTCAGTGAACTATATTTAGTTTACTTTTTTTTATATAAATGGTTGTAAAAGTATGAGTTATTAAATTTTACCCTTCGGCTTAGCTCTTAATTCATGAATTGCATGTGTTAAAACTAGAACATTTAAAATACGCAGTAACTTGTAAGATAATGTGAGCTGAGGGCGGGTCCAGCATGAATGCATAAAAATAATTCAAGTAGCAACATCATCATATCAGATACATGGTTCAGTTAGTTGGTGTAAAGCCCTAATTAGGTAGAGAAAGAATTTAGTACCGAAGATCTAGATTTTACCAAACCCCAAACTAAATCTCACCAATCGATTGCCTAGGATTTTATGGGACCCCCTTTTTTTTTTATTTAAAGTACTTCATACAATATTTTCTACTTGTATAAACTACGTACAAAGTATTATTAAGAAAATGACCAATAATTATACCAAATGAAGTTTGGTTTGATCCATGGTACATCAAATGCTTGTATCACTAACTAGAGACATTTTGGGATGATATTATCCTCTCCCTTTAGGTGTACTAGATAGTTTGGATGGGAACCGTCTATTTCCTGCCACTTCCTCGAATTCTAAAATTAAAGGTAAGGAAAGTAAGTAAGGAGGCTATGGTAATACTTTCTCTATTTTTTAATACTTGTAACACTTTTCTAAAATAGAAGTGACATAATATTTACAGTACATTATACTCTTCATAATTTATAAACTCCATTTTCAATGTGTTAAATTTAGTAAGACATAACTTTTGAAAAAAAAAACTACGCAAAAATTTATGTTATAAGTATTACTATTTTTAAAAAAAAAAT